ATTTCCATTCTTTGATATTTTATTTCTTCAATAAAATAGTCTGGAAACTAAATATAAAATTTCCATGTCATGACATTCATGTCATGACATGGAATGGAATTACATGGAGTTCATGTCATGACATTCATGTCATGACATTCATGTCTTTTTAATAAATATGGATAGATCCCATCAGAACAAGCTTGTTTGTATTCATTTAGCAACTTAAGTTCTATTTTAAAAATTGAGCTCTCGAAAAATCAGTGTTGAATGTACAGATAGATTCTGTTCTTGATTTAAATTCAGGATATTTTTAATTATTTTGGACTGCAAATAGTAAAAAAATTAATCATTAAAAAATACGTTCACTCATTACAAAAGATTGCGTTACTTCAGTTGATAGACAAGAAATTTGCAATCAATTCAACATTCATTTTTATAATGTGAATACATTATAAAAATGAATGTTGAATTGATTGCAAATTTCTTGTCTATCAACTAAGGTAACGCAATCCTTTGTAATAAGTGAACGTATTTTTCATTTTTATAATGTAAATACATTATAAAAATAAATGTTGAATTGATTGCAAATTTCTTGTCTATCAACTGAGGTAACGCAATCTTTTGTAATGAGTGAACGTATTTTTTGATGATTAATTTTTTTACTATTTGCATATGTGTATATTAATTTAGGATTTAATTTAGCTTTTTTGATCAAACTAGATTTATAATTGATTTATTCTGCTTTAATAAGCTTCTTCATTGCTTTGCTGTGAGACGAATACTTTTTTTTATAGGTTCTTATTTGATACTAAAAATGAATACCAAATACTTTTTTTCAATCTTATTTGGTTTTTTGATTTAACCAGTGTGGCCTGTATTTAGTACTTAAGATGGCATTTTTTTTGATTAGGAATGAATTTCACCATATCTAAATAATTTTCAGATATAACATTTCATACATATCATTAAAATCAATGTCATTGGAAGGTTTTTTTAAATATTAGACAAGTATCTCTAAATATCTAAATATTTAGAAATACTTGTAAAGTTACCTTTATTCATACGAGGTATTCCATGAGAAAATAAGACAAATTTTTAAGGTTTGTAACCCACCATCTCAGATTTCCTTCATACTTTGTAAAAATGGTCACCTATATAACATAGAGTAACTTGCAAAATTTTAGCACTGATTTCAAAGAAGGTTTGGGAGATATTGTTACTTTAAAATCAGCTATTTTTAGCAGTTTTGTTCGGTGGCCATTTTGAGTTTACTACAGTTTTTGTTTTACAAGTTACTGTTTAACTAAACATGCAGTTAAGCTGGAAATTAGAACCAGTATAGTTTTTAAGACAAGGAATCAGAATATAATATTTGTTTTTAATGAAAACAATTTGAAGTTTATCAATATTGCTATATATATAGGTACTTTACCTATAGCTATTTTTGAAATTTTAAAGGCGGAAAAGAGGTTTGGTAACCATGGTAGCATTAATTTTTTTTTAATTTTTTTTTTTGTTTTTATTAAAATAGATATATTAAAGAGTGTTTTGATACAAAATTGAGAGGTGGGTTTTTTGAGGATTTTTAAAAATAGTTATACGAATTATAATGATAAAGTACATTTGGATGTTACTTATTAAGAAATTGCTTATTTAGAAAACTTCCATTATAAGAAAAAAATACCATTAACAAAAGTTAAAATAAAAAGTTCATAATAAATGTAATATATTGAGTCAAAATAATCAAAGAAATACAAGTTTTAAATAAAAAACTAGCCAATAAAAAACCAGAACTTGCATCTGAATAATTCATAAATTTGCATATAAAAGAAAACTGGTGTAATATGATTGAGTTAATTTAAAGATTGGATTTTAGGCAAATCATCTGTGTCTATCTGGTATATGCGCCCTGATCTTGAAGATAATGATTTTTTTATCATAATTAAAATATGGGGCTTAGGAACCCAACAACAATTACCTCTACTTGGCCAGTGTAATGAAGTGTTAGGTAAATGAGGATGCATGAATTTTATTAGGGCGTCTTCATTTCTTTCATCAACTTCAAATACCAAACCAACCCAGTTAAACATATCATATTTGCAGATATAATATTTTCCTACAATGATTTCTTGAAGATATTGAATTGAGCCAGTAAGGTTGAATGTTAGATTAAATTCCTTCTGCTCCAAGACTCTTTTGACATTTATGCTTGTTGCATCTTGTGGAATAAATTGGTGGAAACTTCTTGTACCAGGTAAAGTCTTTGCATTATTTAATCAGAGAGTCAGAGATTTACGGACTGATAAGATATCTTCGCCTTTTAAAAAAAAGAAGTGGATGCCAAATATGTTATCTTTTGAAAAATTAAACATTTCTTCAGCGCTCTGAATTTGTAAGTCAATTGGGCGTTGAAGACTAGCATTTGAGGAATTTTCTTTTGCCAGTTGAATATCAATTTCTTGCAAACCACCAATAAATATATTATAAATGAATAAAATTCGCCAAAATTAGTAAATACTAATTTAGATAATATAATTATGTTAGGAATAAAATGAAAAAATTAAAATTTTTAAACTAATTGAAAGTGTGCTAGATGTATTTTTTGTAAAAAGACAGCACAATAAGTTAAAAACATAAAAATTTACCATTTATATTAGTTTTATGCTTTTTAAATGGGTCGATGCAATTTTTTTTGGAGTTAGCAAACCGGTTAAGTAAAATTTGTTCATGATGTAAACAGATTTTAACATTAACGTTTAATATTGATAGCCCAGATCTCCATAACAAAAAATTTCTATCTTTCTCTGAATAGCTTGATAAATCTTTCAATCCAATTGATTTAGTGTACACCGTTTTATGACATTAATCATTTGACAAAATACCAACTGTACACAAAATCTTGTTCATTTTATTTTTTTCAATTTTTTATTTAGCTATAAATAAACAAAAAATACACAGACATATACCTTTATTAAAAATAGAAAAAATATTTATCATTTATCATTTTTTAAATATGATAATATGTATTTATTTTTTAACTTTGATTTTATAGTTTTTTTTACTTAATGATTAGCTATGTAAATTAATTTTTAAAAAAATCATGAACATGAACTTATAATACTTATTTTTTCACATAATACGCCTATATATTTACAAAAAATTTCAAAAATCCTGCCTCTAAATGTTACCAGCCCTCATGGTTACCAGCCCTCCTTTTTGCCTTTGTTAAAATTTCAAAAAAATTTGTAGGTGAAGTACAATCCCCATATTAATATAGTTTTAAATATATTCATTGAAAACAAATATTATTTTCTAATCCCTCGTCCTAAAAACTATACTGGGGCTAAAAAAATATCTCCAAAACCCCTTTGATAGGAGTTCTAAAATTTTGCAAGGTAGTCTATGTTATATAGGTTACCATTTTTACAATGTATGAAGAAATACTGAGATGGTGGGTTACATGCCTGTCCCACTTTCTCATGGAATACTTCATATGAAACTGTTTTAATTCATTTCGACATACTGTGATTGATTTTGTTTCACTTATTTAACTAAAGCTTACTGAAGAATCTAAATGATTACAACTAGAAGAGCCAAGTGGTGATCCAATTGTTGTATTGTAGATAGATTCAGGACAACTTTTAAAAATAAGATATAAGTAGTTTATTTAAAAACGTTTTTTTGATTATGTTTTGTGTTAGATAGTTAGAGTCAATCAGATATTTAAATTCAATACTACAGGGATCACTAGATCCTTTAAGTCTGCTGCCTTTATTATCCCATATAATGTCCGGATGGTTAAAGTCGCTCATAATTACCAACTTACTTTTTTTTTCGTTGTTGTTGTTGACTAGGTTACAAGCTCTTTATATTGATTTACTTATTTCAATTGAAGCGTCATTAGTTGAGTTAGGTGGTCTGTAGATACATCCTATAATTAATGTTTCGTGATTTCTTATTGTAATATGAGCCCAGATTTGTTCATTTTTTGCTTTATATAACTCATTGTCAATAATTTCTAATGAATTTAAGTAATTTCTAATGTATATAGCTACACCACCACCACGAACTTTAGTTCTGTTCTTGTTATATAAAGAATAATTCTTTATTGAGTTGACTGCTTTGGTGTTAAACCATGACTCGGTAATTGCTATTATGTGGTAGTTAAATGTTGTAATAAGTATCTTTATCTCATTCATTTCATTGGTTAAAAAGGTAGCATTGCAATAGTAACATGTTATTTCATTTAAATTATAATGGTAGGAAGGTAAGGGATGTCTGAGATTAAAAATTTCAATTTTCTTGAGTTCATTCCAACGAATGCTCAAATTGAACTTCTTTTCGTTGTTAACACCAACGTTGTTAACAGGCCTCTTATCTATGTCTGATATGACATTTAGAAGTCACTATTGCACATTTAGATATAACTATTGCGCAGATTTATTTCAGTTCGCAGTTATCTATCGAGAATTCTCTCTGCTTCGGTCCCAATATGGACCCTTGAGGAGCTCCACTGGAAACTGGCGCCCAGTCCAATAATGTTTCTCCCGCAATTACTCTTTGTTTACGATTGCATAGAAAGGATTTCACCCATTCCAAAATTTGACCGTTGATCCCGTATCCTTCTAGTTTCATGATTAGATTCAAGTAGTGAACCTTATCAAAAGCCCTGGAGAAGTCCATGAAGAACAAGTCTACCGATAGTTAATTAACTGATGCAGAGACAGAGACCGATAGTTCTACTAGTTCAAAATAACTAACGGTGGTTTAGCTGTTTCAATCTCTTCTGTCTGGTTAACTATGTTTGTAGTTTCGCTGTTGGGTTTTCTTTTTTTCAGACGTCTCGTTCGCTTTAAGCTTATTTAAAAAAATATTAAGGGAAATATTTATATATATATATATATATATATATATATATATATATATATATATATATATATATATATATATATATATATATATATATATATATATATATATATTATTTATTTTTTTATTTATATTTTACTTTTTTATTAGACTTTTGAAAAAATGGTGAGGTGTTGTTCCCAACTCGAATACAGTTTATTAGTTGAGGAATTTAAAGATGCTGGGCCAGAGCTTCAATGTTATTTTGATCGTAATTGGAACACTGTTTCAATAATTCCGATGTTTGCAGGGTTTAGCCGCTTAGGTAAACTTCATTTGGATAATCACACAACAAATCGCCTTGAAAGCTTTCATTCAAAAATTAAGAAAATCATCAATTCTTCTAAAATAAAAATGTCTTTTTTAGTTGAAAAGTTGCTTAGTATTGCATTAGTAAGTAGTTTAAACTTTTTATTGAATATTTTGTTTAACAAAGGATTTTAACTGTTAATAAATAATAAAAAAATTGTTTTATTTTCCTTGTTAACTGTTTTCCACAGATTCGTTCTGTTGAAACAAAACATAGTCATTTTAATTCCACAATGAAGATACCAGTACGAACCCCTGAAGATCTTCTGGATGCTCTTGGAAAAGTGTCTTTATATGCTCTTAAAAAAATGATAAAACAATTACACTTGATGAAATCCAGTGATGCCACTTATGTTTGTTTAAGTTTGTTTTTAGTATTTAATAATTTATGTGATGTTCAGCTTTTAATAAGTTGTTAATTTTTTAATGCATTTTGTTTTTTATATAGGAAGTCTCTTGCAATGATTTTATTTTTAATGAGCGGGAAAACTTTATAAAATGCTCATCTGAGTCTTGTACTTGTGATGTTTTCAACGGAATCGGCATACCATGTTGGCATATTTTCTTTGTCCGAAAAACCCTTGCGTTGCATATTTTTGACATTAAATTAGTTAATATGAGATGGGTTTTAAACTCAACTGTAGAACCGTTAAAAGTTTCTTCTAAAGTTACTTTTTCTTACTATATATTTATTATTTAAACTATTTTTCTTACTATATATATATATATTATATAAACTATTTTCTTACTATATATTTTATTCCTTATTAATTTTTTTTAAACTAGATGGATATTTATGAAAGCTCATTCTTGGCCATCAAATAAACATTATTTCATTTTTTTTTTTGCACTGCCGGCAATTATTCTCAGAATTATTTGCTGGCACTGCCGGCAATTACCACTAGTCATCTAATATTATTTTTATTTAACGTTTTACATTAAAACAACAATCATAGCAAATATTAACATTTACATGCTGTAAATTTAAATTTATTATACTGTATTTACTTACTTTTATTAATTGAAATGTTTAGTTGTTATCTAATATATTATCTAATATTTATTTTATTAATTGAAATGTTTAGTTGTTATCTAATATAGAATTATGTTTTATATTTTGTTAACTTATATTTAAATATAATAAATATTTAATCAAATTGAAGCAAATAATTGCCTAAGTAAGTAGTATATAAAATATATAGTGAGTAGATTATAGAATATAGGTTATTGCAGTAAACTATAAACAAAATACAATGAATGTTATGTGTACTTTAAATACTTAAGTTTAATATATGCATGTATGTTTTAATAATTCTTGTAGTTGGGGTGTGTGTATATATATATATATATATATATATATATATATATATATATATATATATATATATATATATATATATTTAGAAAGTGAAATATGTTTAGAAAATATAAAAGAAAAACTGATCGTGGCAATTTTTTTGAGCAGAGCATGTTATTGGCAATCGATTCTGTAAAATTAAAGGAAATGTTACTAAGGAAAGCAGCTTTGACATTTAAAAATGTTATTAACAAATATAAGTTTGAAGCTCATCAAATTTTTAACTGCAATGAATCAGGCATTACAACTGTACATAAACCTGTTAAAGTTATAACAAAAAAAGGGAAACATTGTATTTCTTCTGTAACAAGTGGTGAACGGGGTGTAACAACAATCGTTGTTTGTGCTATTAATGTAACTGGACTATTTGTTCCACCAATGATGATTTTTAAGAGAAAGCGAATGAAATTAGAACTAATCGACCATGCTCCCTTTGGAACAATTGGAGGGTGCTCTAAAAATGGATGGATTACAACTGATCTGTTCATAGAGTATATAAAACACTTTACTAAGTACACTAGAGCTTCTATAGAAAATAAAATTCTTTTAATTTTAGATGGGCACAAAGTTCATACAAAAAACATTAATTTGTTAGATTTTGCAAAGGAAAATGGATTAGTTATTATAACCTTACCACCTCATACTTCTCATAAGTTGCAGCCACTTGATCGAAGCTTTTTTAAATCATTAAAAACTTTTTATAATATAGAATGTGGATTATGGTTGCGTGAGCATCCTGGAAGAAAAATAACTGATCAACTTGGAGGTATATTCTCCAAAGCCTATAATAAAGCTGCCTCTGTAGAAATTTGCAGTTCTGGTTTTCGTACATCTGGAATTTATCCTTTTTGTCCAGATATAATTTCAGACACTGAGTTTAATGAAGACAAAAGATCTAATGTCATCTTACATAAACCTAATAAAATCGAATCACAAGTTAATTTGAGCACCTTATTACCATTGGCCTCAGGATCTTCAGAAAATATTGATTTTGATATAACACCATGCTTCTCTAATATTGTACCAATTCCAAAGATCATTTTACCACCAAAAAACGGATAAGAATCACAGATAATAACAACATCACATTACAGAAAATCACAATTTCAATCCTCTGAAAAATCAAAAAAGTTAAAAGAACACAAAATAGAAAATAAAAGTGCATTGGAAAGGGTTGAAGAATGGGAATGTTATGTTTGTAATGGTTTATGGAGTAAGGCTGCAAAAGGAGAGAAGTGGAGTTAATGTTCAAAATGCACAACCTGGGCTCATTTGGACTGTTGTTCGTTTCAAAATACTGGTCAAGCAGTATATGATTTATGTGACTAGTGCCAGTTTGATTATAGCTATAATATATTATAAATGTATTTCTTTCCTCTTATGTATCTGTTTTGTTTAATTTTATTTATTTAAATTGCTAAAAAAAAAATCTGTCTCATTTTGACAGGATAGGAGCTGTCAATAAATGATCTCAGGTGACCAAACCACTACAGTTTTGCAACTCATATTTTGTAAGCTTCAAGTAGGATGGTTGAAGATTTGAAAAATATCAAGTTATTTTTTCAAAAGTTGTTAGACCGCATTTCAAAGTTAAAAAAAAAAAATTTCAAAAGTTGTTAGTACCGCATTAGATAAATTAGTGCTTAAGTGTCTCATTTTGCCCCTCGTTACGCTAGTTGACTGAGTATTGATCCATTTCAGAAACTTTTCTCTACATATATAGTTCTCAAAGCAGAAAAATACTAAAGCTGGTAAATACCAAGAGGACTGATAAGAACATATGCAGAAGGTATAAAATCAGAATTTAACCATTTTCTTAATTGCAAAGAAAGGCTTTGATTTACCAAATCTACTGATTGCATTCCATACTAAAACTATCGCTTGAAACTTTGATTTAAACTTATATTTAATATCATTTTCAGTTTTGTCTTTATCTTGACTATAAAAGCCACTATTTCCTGGTGTGTTTTGCTCAACGTAAAATCGTCATCCATGATAATTTTAAACTAATTTGACGGTTTAAAAGTCGTTGTTTTTGTTTAATTGTTTGAATTTCAGAGCTTTCTTTCTTTTGAAATATTTAAGCCTGTGCATGTTAAAATAACTTTTATGAACTCCATATTTTAAAAAAAGTTTTCTCTGGGAGATTTCAACTTTATTTTCAGCCTTGTTAATGAGTGAAGTAGTTTTTCTTATACCCATTTTGTATTGTTCTCTGCCGCTTTCCGACTTTCTTTTAAGGTTGTCGTTAATTCTTTTAATAATATTATAAATTGTTCGCCTTGCAACTTTTATTTGCATAAAATGATGCACTGTAAATGTTTTCCCTTTGCCTATGTTATCTAAATAGAAGTTTCCAATAAGCTTTCGTTTATCGTTTTCTTTAATTCCATTCATTTTATTTATATGATTTTATTAGCCAAAATCAGTATCAGATTATGAAATAAGAATGTCTTGAGAATATATTTAAATTCGAACTGGAGAAATAACTGCAAATTTTTAGTACTTAATTCCAGGCATAAAACAAGCAAACTCGTAAAAGAAAAAGCCGATAATTTTAAACAAATCCGATTAGTTATTAGTGGCAAGCCGAAGATCTTTTTATTTATTGGTATTTAATTTATGCAAACAATGAACTCTAAAATAATGGCAAAGTTTTATAAACAACCGAAACGTCATAACAGTGTTGCAGGTGATATATCAATACAATTATAAAGATTTCTTGAAGTGTTTGTTTGACATAATTTATAAACCAAATTACAATTTAACATATTTTTGTTGGTATATTTTAAAAAAATATGCTACCTTTAAAAGCAGCTGGAATGAATTATGTAATATATATTTTATTTTGCGCACTGTAACAGCAAAAAGTATTTGTCTTAATACAATTGTATTAAGATAAATACTTTTTGTAAGTCTATACAACTAAGAACTTTGAACTAAGTCAATACAAGTAGCTATTCTGGCTTCGGTATTGTACAATACCGAAGCCAGAATAGCTACTTGTATTGACTTAGTGCTCAAAGATATAATTGTTTTTATAACAATAAGTTAAAAATAACTTATGTTACTTTCAAATTATTATTGTTATAAAAATAAAAAAAAACCAAATGTCAATTAAAGTTTACTACTGATATAAAAACGTAACGAGTTTGAAAATGAAAGTAATTTGTTTATAAAGTTTACCGCCGCTATTTTTTAATTGTTTACGCATTCTGAATGGAATAATTTATTTTCTCAAGATGGCCGAATAAGTCCCGAGTATTTCAAAATATGATACAAAATACCAAAAACTGTTTTTTGAATGGGGCTAAAAGTTATGATTATTTATACAAAAATGACTTTCGTAGAAAAATTAATATTACCGTAGTCTATCTGAATCTAACGTGACATTATTGTTAAACTTACTCATCTAGGTATTGAAAAAATAACTTCAATTTTTATAAAAAAACGGTTTATCGTGGATAATTTTCCCTAATCTCTGATTATAAATGTCAAGTTACATTCATTATAAACAAACACCAATACCTGCTTTTATGAAAAAATCAAAGTCACAGACTTTTTTATAGCCAAGTCCCGGGGTACTTTATGTTGAAAATTACATCTTTTCTAAATAAAACTACGCTTGACTATTTGTCATTGTCGCATTACTTTTACCAGATTATAATAGTGGTAAAAATAATTTTCCCATACATACCAAATATGTCATACTTTTTGATGAAAAAACTTACATATATTCCCGACGGGCATTTGTTTTTAAAAGTTACGATCTAAATGTATTTTAAATGTCTTTTAAACGTCTTTTAAACAGTAATGTTTAAAAGACGTTTAAAAGACGTTTAAAACACATTTAGAACGTAACTTTTAAAAACAAATGCCCGTCGGGTTGTAATTGAAAAAACTTACATTTTTGTTCGGAAAAACGTGTACCAGGCCTTAGTTGCGTTGAGTAGCCTCGTATTATAAAAAATTGTTTAAATGACAGTTGTCGCGGCATAAAATCATTTGTTATGTTTTAGTTATATAGCCTGCAACCAAAAACAGTTTTTAACTCATTATATATGTATTTTGCAGTGAATATCAGTTTTCAAGTCTGGCCGAAAACATATAGACATGGCCGAACAAAGTACAATATTACCAGAAAAAACAAGATTTTTTAGACCATTAAACACATCATCTTTAATTGGTTTTAAAATGATTCAAAACTTTCAAAAAGATTTTCAAATAGCGAAAACATGTATTAACATTATAATTTAATTTTGCAACAATATAACTTACCTTCTAAATGGCATCACATATAAAAAAAATACTCTCTCTATAAATTTTTGAGAAAAGCGTTTAATCATCTATTATTGTTCAGGGTGCGAATTAAAATTAAAATATTTTATTGAAGGCGGTTTTTTTAAACAATCCTTAGGTTTTTATGTGACTCATATTAAGTGTATACAATAGTAGCTTTTATAGAAAAATCGAATAAAAATAATTTTGACTTTTGCCACATCATAGCCCACCGTCGGTCGGTGGAGCAACCATATTTATTTTTAAAAAATAATTACTTTGTCGAGTAAAACCATGTCAAATCGAATAACATAGTAAAATTTGTTTGTTTTTAATGTATAACTTTAAATCACTTATCCAAATAATAATACGAAGCATAATAATAATACGAAGCATACGTATATTTTAATTAATTGAACATATTGATATGTTTCTATATAAAGCAGATCAAAATATTGTAAAAAAATCACTTATTATCATTTAAAGCATATCTCATAAAGTCTATGACTTCTAAGTTTTCTTTTTCTAACAGCGATCCGACTGTAAATTTATCATTTAATAAAAAGTCTTGACTAAGTAAGGATTCGTCCTCACTTATCCCACTGCAAGAAGAGATTGATTTAGGATTCATTCCAATGACATGTTGTGCAATGCCTTTGGCAAAAAATGCAGCACGTTCTACGTCACAGCTACTTTTAGGTCTTAACGTCACAACAGCGGCATAGGTCCCCATCAAACAGTCGTTTACAGCTCCAGTAACGTTTCCGTGAACTGCTGTACCTATCACGTTCGAGGAAAACGTAGACATAGCTATAGCACGCCTAAGTACAATATTTTCACCGATCTTTCCAACCATATTAGTCATTAGCTCTTCAAGTTTTAAATTTGAGTTCTCCTCAATCGAACTTAGCAAATGATGTTTTATAATTTCTTCTTTCAGATGGCCTACTTGACTTTCTAATGAAGAACGGTTCATATTTTGCAGAACAACATTTTTACGCAACTTTAAAGTCAAGCGAGCTGTAGCGGCAACAAAATTTTGAAATAATTCATTCCTAGAAACAAAGTCAGTTTCACATCTAATCTAAAAAAAGGAAATACTCGTATTTTTTTACTTTTATATTAACAACATTATTTGATAGATAAATAAATACAATTTACATATTATAGAATCAACAAGAAAATTTAAAAAATAAATAAATAAAGCTAAGTTATGCCGGTAATGGCATAGAACGATAAACTTATGATAATAATAAAAGTTATGTAACAATAACTTTCAGAAACAAACTTTCAGAAAACTATATTGTTGTTATAAATTTTAACATTGAGAGAATTAAATATTAACTATCACTATCCTAGTGAGCACAAGACGTGTTTATTACATCTAAAATACATTTTAAAATAACTTTTTAATACGTTTAAAAAAAGTCTAATACAGGTCTTGTACCCACTGGGATGATCGGTTAAAAATTGGTTTTATACTAAGTTTTCTTAAAAACCATTAAATCAATACTAATGATGTGTTACTTTAATGACGTACACATAACTAGTTTTTGTGTGTGATTTTACTTTATTTATTTTATGTTAAGTTAAGAGTCTAAAAATCTAGAAAAACTTTTGAAATTATACACATAAAATCCATTTACAAACAAAATCCATTTTATTCATTTTAAATTATTTTAAAAGTATACGAAGTTCCAAAATCAACTGTTGGAATTGTCAAAAAACGTTATAGAGAATAAAAACATAAACTGAAGTATGATAAAACTAATAAAAACTAATAATGATAACTAATAATGATAAAAATAATAAGAAAAAAAAATCAAATTTTTTTAACTTTTGATAAAACTCAAATTTTTTTCAGCCAATCGAATTGCAATAATTAAGACCTTCCTATATTTATGAACGGTAATGTACTCAATGAGTCATCTACCCTTCATCTTCTAGGATTAACTCTTACTTCCGATCTTTCTTGGAAACCATATATCAAATCCGTTGCAAAATTAGCATCTGCTAAGGTTGCATTTCTTTATTGAGCTAGACATTTTCTTACTCCGGATTCTATTCTCTATAAATCTCAAATCCGGCCTTGTATGGAATACTATTGCCATATCTGGGGCAGACCTTCTAATGATGCCTTTTCTCTTTTAGACAAGGTGAAAAAATTCCAACCTTCAACTATTATCACATCGTCATAATGTTGCTTCTCTTTCTCTTTTCTACAAATACTATAATGGGCACTGCTCTAAAGAGCTAGCGTCTCTTGTGCCATCTACTAAAATTCATTCTCGCGTTACTCGTCATTCAATAAAGCCTCATCCTTTTTGTGTGACTGTTCCTAAGTGCTCCAAAAAATTCCTCTAGTTTTTTTGCTTGAACATCAGTTCTTTGGAATTCGCTTTCTTTATCTTGCTTTCCTGATTCATATAATTTGCAATCTTTTAAGTCGTCTGTCAATCGTTATCTTGCTCTACAATCTTCATCTTTTCTCTTCCAGTAACTCTAATTAGTGGTTGCTTGCAACCTTGTTGGAAGCGATAATGTAAAAAAAAAGCCGTTAAATCAGAAAAAAATTAGAAAAATGCAATACTATTTGATTTCCAAATATTTCCAGCAGAAGAACCATATCTTCTCGAGCTATGCGAGCTTTGGATACATCTTGTTGTGTTGTTCAACACATTTAGAAACCATTTTGTTTTTATTATTTTTATTACTTATTAACAATCTCAACATTTTTACAACAAATTTGTTCACTATATATAGTATTTAAAAATTCAACTTGTGATTCTTGTCAACAACTAGTGGTTGTTATACAAAACGTTATAATAATAAAAGTATGCAACGTGTGACTTTTGTCAGTAATTAGCAAAGCTAATTATTGACAAATTATTGACACACATTAAAATCACAACATTTCTCCCATCTCATCAAGAGCTCATACATAATCGTGATACTTCCGGTTAGGAAGTATTCTTCTCCCATAGCGAGTGAACCGAACAGGCTGTAACTCTGTCTCACAATTCGTTGGATAGTTTTGATCAGCGCGGTGCATACTATTGTGACCTTCGCCGTCATTGAACCAAAATTCTAGATTGTTCTTTATGTCTGGTCATAAAATTTTTTTTAAACAATAATATTACATATTGGCAAATTAGTATAAGTGCTCAGAAAAAAAGTTGCAAAAGTGCAAAGCAGTTGCAAAAACTGGCATAAGTACGAATTGGCATGAGTGCGTTAAATAAACTTGCAATCATTGGTATAAGTGCGAATTGAAATAAGTGTGAAATGCCAATTTGCAATTATGTTAATATTTGCAACTTTATTATACCAATTTGGACTTATGCTAGTTCACACTTATGCCAGTTTTTGCTTTGCACTGCTTTTGCTTTGCAGTTTTTGCTTTGCAACTGCCTTGCACTAATGCCAATCTACACTTATGCCAATGTTTGCAAATTTATTTGGCGCAATAATACCAATTTATATTTAAGCCAGTTTGCGCTTGTGCCAGTTTTTGAAACTGCTTTACATTTACACTACTTCGCAACTATCTCAATGTTTGTAAATTCTTTTGGCACACTTATGCCAGTTTGTACATATGCTGATTCGCACTTAATCAAGTTTTTGCAAATGCTTCGCACTTATGCCAGATTGGACTTATGCCCGTTAACTTATTGTCCCCATGAACATTATTTTTTGTAAAAAAAATGTCCCTGTAAGCAACTTTTATAGAGAGTGAAAAGTACATACATCAACTATCAAATAGCCTGACTCGCAAGGGAGTGTTGCTACATCGACTGAGGGTTTGGTTAGGGTCAGCATCAAGGTCAGGCATAGAATTAGGGTGAAAATAATAATGAAATGTAATATATAATAAATAAAATAAACATAAAAAATTTATTTTTATAATAAAATAATAAATAAAAATTAAAAAAGTATATATAAATATAATAAAAACAGTATCAAAAAAGTAAAATATATATATATATATATATATATATATATATATATATATATATATATATCAGGGGTGTACACTCGATTTTTAGATGTTTGAGTTTTGACACTTACAGGCATTGTGCAAACTCCAAACTTTTATATGTTCATGCTTATGTCAAATGAGGATGTTTTGCAAAGAATTGTGGTGATTGGAGGTTGGGAACAAAAAAACCCTAATTTTTGGGCCCACCCGGCCCTTAATGTGGGAGCAACAAGTTTATAAATTATTTTCTATACTATTTTTGTTTAAATCAATATTCATCAACAAATTTCAAATTTCATGCAATAATCTTTTAGTGTTCAGTTTTTATGACCCTGCAAAGTTTAGAGCCCCCTCAAATTGAGGGGGGTTAAAACTTTATATGGTCATAAAAACTGAACACTAAGAAAATATTGCATGAAATTTAAAATTTGTTGATAAATATAAACTTAGATAAAAATAGAAGAGAAAATTTTTTATAAACTTGTTGCTCCCATATTAAGGGTCGGGTGGGCCCAAAAATTAGGGTTTTTTTGTTCCCAACCTCCAATCACTGCAATTCTTTGCAAAACATCCTCATTTGACATAAGCATGAACATACAAAAGTTTGGAGTTTGCACAATGCCTGTAAGTGTCAAAACTCAAACATCTAAAAATCGAGTGTACACCACTGTATATATATATATATATATATATATATATATATATATATATATATATATATATATATATATATATATATATATATATATATATGTATATATACCACAGTCGTTTACAAGCGCTATGTTTAGGTACGCATCCGTGAGAAAATGCAAAAAAAAATTTTTGTTATTTGATCTCTAAAAACTCAATGTTGTAGCCTTATTTTCATGTAGATCAGTATATTATTACAAAATTTTCACAAAAATATAAATAAAAAAAGGATAAAAAATATCTTAGAGTACTTAATCTTTATTTTCAATTAACAACTTTTTAGTGTAACTCATAGATTTGTTTATTTATTTGAAATCAATTATCTTAAAATCTGAGTGTATGATTTCAATAATTTTTTTTTAAAACTTCAGATAAATATGTTCTATCTTTATGATATTTTTCTGGTCACTGCTTCAACTTTTTTTCAATGTAAAAACTTGTTTTTACTGTTATGACTATTTACTAATATATATATATATATATATATATATATATATATATATATATATATATATATATATATATATATATATATATATATATATATATACACATACATACATACATACATACATACATACATACATACATACATACATACATACACACACATATATGTATGTGAGTGTACAATAATACACATTATGTGTGTGTATTATTGTACAGACACACACACATACACACATATATATATATTTGTATATATATAAATATATATATATATATATATATATATATATATATATATATATATATATATATATATATAGATATATATATATATATATATATATATATATATATATATATATATATATATATATATATATATATATACATATATATATATGTGTGTGCGCGCGTGTGTGTATGTATACAATAATACACACATATATATATATTACATATATGTATGTACGTATGTATATATATATATATATATTTATATATACATATATAATATATATATAATATATATATATATATATATATTTATATATACATATATAATATATATATATATATATATATATATATATATATATATATATATATATATATATATATATATATATATATATATATATATATATATTTGGTTCAACCTCCCATATAGCAAAAATGTTTCCACTAACATAGGAAAAGTGTTTTTAAAATTGGTCGATAAGCATTTCCCTCCCTCTAATAAATTACATAAAATTTTTAATTGAAATACAATTAAAATTAGCTACAGTTGCACAAAAAATATGGAAAGAATTATAAAAAGTCACAATAATGCTTTGTTAAATAAAAAAGAAATCCTAAATGAAAAAACTACAGAAAATTGTAATTGTAAACAAAAAAACAATTGTCCAATAAGTGGAAGTTGTTTATCAAAAAATGTGGTATATAAATGTGTTGTTTCTTCTAAGAATGTACCCGATAAACAATGTATTGGCATAACAGAGGGTGAATGGAAAAAACATTTTGCTAATCATAAGCAATCTTTTAAAAATAAAAAGTATTCAAAAGACACCATGCTGTCAAAATATATATGGGAACTAAAAGATAAAAATATTGATGATTTTATACTGAATTGGTCCATCCTTAAAACAGTGCCTGCATACAACAATATTTCCAAAAAATGCATACTATGTCTACAAGAAAAATTTCAAATAATTACACATTCAAACCAAGAATGTTTGTTAAACAAAAAATCGGAATTGATTTCTAAATCCAGGCATGAAAATAAGTTTCTCCTAAAAAACTATAAAAATAAGTAACTCAAATAAGTTACATTAAGTCCTCCCCTTTTTTTAAAAATATTTTTACAAAAAAAAGCATAAGTAATCATTTCTAAAGAATTCTTTTTATAATAGTGTCAGCAAATTCCACAAATGTGTGAAAATTTACAGTCGTTAAAACATTTGCAACTTCCTGTAATTTAATTTTTTGGTATAAATTGAAGTTTTATTAATTTGATCATCCATTTTTGATGAGTCTTTGTTGATGAATCACAGTGTAAAATGAAAAAAAATTTTTGTTAAGTGATTTTCTACTAATTTATATATATATATATATATATATATATATATATATATATATATATATATATATATATATATATATATATATATATATATATATATATATATATATATATATATATATATATATATATATATATATATATATATATATATATATATATATATATATATATATATATAGTCAGAAAAATAGTAATTAACAAAATAATTAATGAAACTGCACATTGATATATAAGGAAATAGTCATAACAGTAAAAACAAATTTTTATACGGAAAAAAAGTTGAAGCAATGACCAGAAAAATATCATAAATAAACAAATCTATAATTTACACTAAAAAGGTGTTAAATAAAAATAAAGTTTAAGCGCGCAAAGATTTTTGTTACATCTATTTATTTATATTTTTGTGAAATTTTTGAATTTTTATATTGATCTACGTTAAAAATAAAGCTACATAATTGGCTTTTCAGAAATTAATTAACAAATAATCTGTTGCCATATAAAATATTCTCTGTAGTTAAGAACTATAACCATTTTAAAAGTTCAAAAGTTTTTTGTATTTTCTAATATCTAAACGACCGTGATACATATATATTTATATATATATATATATTAGGGTAGGTCAATTTTTCACTTTTTTTTTTCGTAACAGCTAAGATACTGAAAGGTATATTTATATATAAAAAACAATAAAATAAAAAGTTGAAGGTGTTTAGTCGAACAGTAGGTTGCAGATTAGCGATCAATTTAAATGTACACTCATCAACATTTGCTATAAAAATACTATCTTTTTGCTTGTGGTTTCATACTTTAGGACAAAATTTTAATCATAAAAAAATTTGAAACCAAGGAATAACTCAAATATTTGTATTTAAAAATATTGATACGATTTATCGTTTCGTTTTATTAAAATTTTTTTAATGAATGTGTAAATATCTTTATCAGAAAACTCTTTTGTAGTTGGTGGCTCCATTTCGATATAAGCAAGATCAGCAATATCAATAAGAGATATCCAGCTTGTATCATTCCAATTTAGTTGAGGGATTTCATTTTTATTCCATAACAGCTTTTGTTTCTAAAAATAAAATGTCGCTACTTTCAAAAAACTTGCGAAAAACAAAAAACAAAATTAATAACCTTAATTATAAATTAATATTATAAAATACAGAAAAATACATTTTCAAAAAAGCTTTGTATACAGCTGCCTGATAAATTATAAATAAAAAAACTAATTTTAAAAAGTTTACTGTTTTCTGAGAGTGGGTTTTGTCTCAAACCTGAGAGTCCTGATCTGCTCATCATCAATTTTAAGCATTGCGTAGAGAAAATTTTAAACCATTGCGTAGAGAAAATTTGCAGGTATTAAACAGAAACCAAACCTTGAATGTTTTTTTTTTAATTTTTTTTACATCATCAAACTTAATAAGATTTAATTGATTAATAGTGAAAAACAGTATCTGTGGGAAGAATCTTGCAATTTGAAAGATTTCTCTATTTGAAATCATGATGGAGCATAAACTTTAACAATATGATGGGTAAGCTTTTTTAGACTTGCGTTTGGAGAAACATCTCGAGTGTAAAAATAAAGAATTTGGATAGAAGGGGTTAGCCATCGACCATGACAACGGGTATTGTTCTGTGTATCATGTAGATCCCATGAGATTTGCCATCCTCATGAGTAAAAGTAAGGTGATGGTTTGCCGCAACACATTTTGTTATGAATTTTTTTTTTTCAAAATTTTATGCTTTTAAGTACACTTTTGTGTTTTTATCTATCTTTCCATCTAAACCAATGCAAAATAGTTATTTCTTCTTTTTTAAATCTGTATTTTTTTAAATTATTTTTAATTTTGACTCAGCTGTCTAACTTACACTTATCCATTAGAATATTACTGATATCACCTTCCGGTAACAATAGACGCTTGACATCATGGAGTAAGGCGTTTCCAAGAGCTGTTCCGAGATTTGACCAGCTCCATTGCATGTCTTGAAAAATTTTGGGTACTGTAATCTGCCTGAGTTCTTTTACTTAGCTTTCATTCATCCTGTTCCTTAAGTAAAAACTTGATGATGTTATTATTTCAGATATACATTCTGGGGGATCTGGTAATAAACTTAGAAGCTCATTATCAATATGTTTGTGATGTGATATATTTCCTTCCTTCTGTTTAATCCTGTTGTTTTGTTTTAAAGCAGATGTATCTACCGAAGACATCAAAAAATAGCCCTTTTGGTCCTGTTTTTAAATGGTGATCTCGTATTTAAACTCTTTCTTCTATTCGAACTTTTACTTCTTTAGGGCATACACAAATAAGTTTATCTAGTTTAGAATCTAGGTTTCATTTGATATTTTCTTTGGCGTATTTGCGGTTTATGTTTTTTACGGTTGCAAATGTATTTTTAATTTTTGTTTCAAAAGACTTATTGCTTATTAAAGGCAATTGTATAGATTTTAAAACACATGA